TTTAATTTATTTAAAGAAAATTAAAACTTATATACACTAATCTAATCTCAAGTAATATTTATCACACTCGTTGTTGTGAAATTTTATGCTGGAAAAGGCCTAACAATTGAGGGTTTTCGTTTTTTTTTTTATAAGTGATTGTGGTCTCAGATAAGGCTACCCGCAGAAGCTAACCCAGGGTTGGTAATAACGGGGCCGCCGTATTAAAGTTTGAAGAATCCCACCGGCAGCCTATTCCATCTAACCAATCGTTGAGTGGATACCTCTATGGCTCTATCTAGGGGTTTAGTAGGAGCAGGGCAGGAGGCTATGAGCGCAACAGCCCGCCCCCTAATGAGGTTTAACAGTCCTATATGGTTGAAACTCCTCAGACCTATACACTTTATGATTTCTCTGCAACCAAATGGTCCAAAGAAAAAAAGAGAAAACAGTGTTCCAGGGAATAGGAGGAGAAGGACAACAACAACAGGTATTCTTGTAGTTACCTTTCAACCAAATTAAAAAAAAGAAAAAGAAAAAAGGGAGAACCATCGTTAGCATGTAAAGGGCCTCCCGGAAAGAATTGATTCCAGACAGAGCAGGCAAAAGATCAGCAGCAACGCATGAGATGAGCAGCAGTTTCGGTAGAAGAGCCACACATTGGACACATTAATACCAATTGTATTCGAGTACTTGGTGCTACTACTAGTTGGCCAAGGACACATTTTTTCTTTAAAAAAATTGGCAGCCATCCACGATTCGGTAGCAGTTGGCCAAGTGCAGCTCGCAGTGTTCTATTCTATATTGTCAATAAATAGAGCCAAAAAAAATATTTTTCTTTCTAAATTATTCTCTTTACGTAATATAATTCTTTAGAAAAAAGAGTGGTTAACAATATTTATTGATATAACAACTTAAAATATAATGTGACATAGATGTTTATTTTTTAATTTTAATGAAACACATGAATCTATATAAATTTTATTTGCTTTTCATGTCAAATAAATATCAAAAATAAAAATTAATTTAAATATTTTTTATAAATTTTTTTTATAATTTACATAATAATTAATTATTTTTACCTAATTAAAAAATATAATATTATATATTTATTTAATAACATATAAATTTATAAAAAATAATTATCTATATATTGTTATTCATAAAAAATTTTATTATATATTTTTACTAAATAAAAAAAATAAGAGCTGCCAGTATGTAATTCCTTCTACTCCCCCCCGCCAGTGAACCGACCAATCAAAACCAACCAAGCAACATGACTGGCTAGCAGGGCTCCACGTCGTCTCCACAAAATATCAGAACCAATCGTAGCCGTTTCACATTAGAAACGGGCCCCACTAACCGACCGCCCCCAACTTCCACATGGACCCACTCGTTTCTCTTCCCTCCATGCCCGAAAAGGCAAAAACTCTCGCGCAGTATATTCCTTACCCCTTCAAAAATCCTTCCTTTTTCCTCTCTTGTGTGAAAAACAGACTCAGAAGAGAGACTTTAGGTTACTGTTCTTGGTGGGTTTCTCCCTGAAGAAACGTATTCCTAATCCATTGTCTACTGATTCAAAAACCCAGAACAGGTTGAAAATATACAGAAGCAACCCCTGTTTATCCTTTCTTCAGATTCCCAGTTTCTAGAATCGCCATAAATAGATATCCCGGATCTTCTTTTTCAACATTGGTTCCATTTTGAGGGAACCCAGATAAATTTCATCCTTAATTCTGTTCGATTTCGGCTAAAGTTATGGCCTTGATGGGGGTTTTGTTCCTGTTTTTCCTGTTTTCTGTTGGGTTGTGTAATGAGGGTTTTGACTCTCACCTTTTACCGAGACCGTTGATCCTTGAATACCCAGAACATGGTGAGACACGGTTCGGGAAATTTGATGAGGAGCTACTGTTACATTGTACGAGTTGGAGGTTTGCGGTGGAGGCCAACAATTTGAATCCATGGAAGACGATTCCACCGGAATGTGCGGAGTATGTGAGGGATTATATGATGGGTCGAGGTTACAGAGTGGATCTGGAGACGGTTTCGGATGAGGCTGGGGTTTTTGCGAAGGGTGTGGAGTTGAGTGGGGATGGGAAAGATGTGTGGATTTTTGATGTGGATGAGACCCTGTTGTCCAATCTCCCCTATTATACAGAGCATGGATATGGGTAAGGTTTCCTCCTTTTTACTTGTTTAGAGTTATTGTGTTGTTGAGCACATGTCTGCAGAAAAAAAAATGTTAGTAATATTATCAATTTTCTACTGTTATAGTTGTTTGTTTGATGAGAAAGTGCGAGAAAAGAACATAGGATTACATCATTAAGGTATGAGGAATTAAGTAGTATTAGCAAGTGCTTGTGATATGTTGGGATTCACCAAGCAAAAAGTTCAGGGTTTGTTTTTAGATTTTTTATATTAATGATTCTTATGTTTGATGAGAATCTTTAAAACTATGGAAGGAAAAAAAGAGACAAAAGTGACGCAGGTTGGAGAGATTTTGATGGTAAAGAGAAGATTTTGGAGATATGGGGAATATAAATCATGAACATATTAGTGTACACAGAAATTAGTTTCTGAATTCTGTTAGATTTGCTTGGTATGTGTATGGTTTCTAATGTGAGCCTTGTTGGTAATTTGCAGATTGGAGATATTTGATCACAAGGAGTTTGATAAGTGGGTTGAGAAGGGAATGGCACCAGCAGTACAGCCCAGCTTGAAACTTTATGAGAAGGTTTTAGATTTGGGTTTTAAGGTTTTCTTACTGACAGGACGGAGTGAAAAGCATAGGTCTGTTACGATTGAAAATCTGAGCAAAGCTGGGTTTCAGAATTGGGACAAGCTTATTTTGAGGTGAGCATGGGAATTTTTATGATTGAAAATGTGGATTTGGTTTGTTATTTTCATATTTTATTGTGTGACTTTTCGTGGATTAGAGCACCATTTTTTATTGGTTTGGGTGGAGTGCAGATAGTTGGTTCTATGTTTATGGTTTAACCAATATGCTAATTTCCATATTCAAGTAAACGCACAAAAGCTTTAAATTTTGTTGTGACTAAACAGAAGAGAATCATGACATTGCTATTTGCTTCCCATTGCTGCTGACAGTTCAGGCTTTTGTATCACTGTTTAGGGCCTCTTTTTTGTCTTTTGCAACATAAGCTATACTTAATGTTGGATATCAGGGCTTTAAGATATCTTGTGAGATACCATTCTCAAGTTTATATACTTTATAGTAGTTGTTCCCAAGATAAACCCTTATATTATTGGGGCTGCAGAGTTTGCAACATGCTTTGAACTGTGCAATGAGCACGGATTGAATTATTGTTTCTCCCTTTACTCTTTCTTTTTTTTTGATAAGCAAATGAATTTATTGTTTCTCCCTTTACCATGTGTGAGATAAGAAGAAAATTCTTGAAGGGCTATGATGAAGATATTTTTTTATTTACTGGAGGACATTTAGGTTACTCCTTTCTGGTTTCTGGCCTAAATAACCTACAGGGATACTTTCACTAGTGTGAAAAGTCCATGCCTAAATTTAGGTTGAGATTTCTAGCTTTCTGGTGGATTTCTGGTGGATTTCTGGTATACCCACAATCATAATCATGCTTTCAATGATCCATTGTTTCAAAAGCAGGTTTTAGAAATGGTGGACACTTAAATTTAATGGTGACACATGCTTCTTCTTCGTGATTTGATTCCCTAGAACTGAAATCCAGTGTTATTCACTGTAAATGGATGACTGGTCATGGGAGCAGCTTCCTATTTTTCTGGTTTAGAATTGTATGTAAAGGAAAAAATGAAGGAGTTAATAGTAGCATTTGTAATAGTTTTCATAAAATTGGTTTGACACGTTGCTATCTTCTTTTCCACCCATATCCGGTGATTTTGAATAAAGACTTACTACTTTAGTTGGACCACAGCTAGGTAATAAGCATTAATAATTTTGGACCACAACTAGGAATCAGCATTATTTACCAAGACAACTGAAAAGGTGTAGATAGAATTAGTGTTTTCTCCTCTAATCGAATGTAAGAATCAATTAATGCATTATGCCCTGCTATTAATGGTGCTTGCTTTTGATGTTCATCTGTGTACTGTAAGAATCTGTAAAGAAAAAGAGGGAATGGTTTTTGATGTCGATATCTAATTACAGAAGTTGTGTGGTTGACAATTCCAACATCTTATTCCTTCCTTTGTTTTCACTTTTCTTCTTTGTTCCTTTTTCTTTTCCTTTTGTGAATGATGATTAAGGACACAGGACACAATTATCATGAAGCAGTTTCGCTATCATAAATGTTTGGCCACAGATTCATTTCATTTTGCAAGCGAGCACAGCAATTTTTGACCAACACTGGAATTTTTGTGCCATGCAGAGCTTCTGAAGACCATGGCAAGCTGGCAGTGATATTTAAGTCAGAAAAGAGAGGCGAGATGCTAAACGAGGGCTATAGGATTCTTGGAAATTCTGGTGATCAGTGGAGTGATTTGTTAGGCTCCTTTCCATCCACTCGCTCTTTCAAGCTTCCAAATCCTATGTACTATATTCCCTAATTGCCCACCATTCTTCATACATTTAGTCTAAACAATAACCAGTGCCCTTTACATGATTATTCTCTTGCATATTGTAAATGAATAAAAAAAGGATCTTTTAAACATCATGTTTGTGATGCTTTCCTCAAATTGGTATCTTTCCTCTTTGATTTTTAATTCTGTAGCTCATGAACTGTGAGCCATATGAAGCATTTTCTAAAGAAACTATGGCAAGATGAGGAAGTAGAACTAGCTGAGAAGAGACATTAGAAGTTTATCATATGTTGGGGAAGATGAATTAAGATTTCTGTCAAATTGTTGTCGGTAATGTGGATCCATTTCTTCTTCTTTTGTCAGTGGTACTGTTTTTCAACAGGTTTTTAAGACATGGCTGTTGCACTTGGAAGACCACCAAGTCTAGCTGCACTCCTTTCTCCATTGGCTAAAATTTTATTTTTATTTTTCATTTTAAAAATAAAATTATTTTGAGCAATGAAGAAAGAAGTGAAAGTGGGTAGAGTTATACCCATCACTCATAATGTTCTTAAAATTATTGTTTTTATTTAATTTTATTGATAAAAGTAATTAATAATTAATAATTATTAAATAATAATTAATATAATAAAATAATTAAAATTTATTAACTAATAAATTAAAATTAATTAATAAATTGGTATTTTTATACACTATTTAAAAAATTAAAAAAGTTAATGAGCTTAACAATTTTTTTTGGGGTGGGGTGGGGTGGGGTTGGGGGGGCAATAAGCACAAAGAAGTCTAGCTGTACCCTGCTTGTGTGTGGGTTTTTTTTTTTCTTTTTTTTGGAGCATTGGAATTTTGGAATGGAGGCTTGGGATTCGAACTCAGCTCCTCGGAGCTGGAATCGACAAAAAACGTGTGCACTGATCAATTGGGCTAGACGCCGTACGGCTAATGGGTTTAACAGCGGTCATAAGCAGATAGATATGTTGTTGAGGAAGAAAAGAGGAATTTGGTTAGCAAAATAGTATTTTGCTGTCTATCTTGCACAAATTATAATTTATTTAATCTTTAATAAAATGATGAGTCGCCGAATATCATATCCCTCCATTAATTGTTTATTAAGTGAAATATAGTTTTATACATAGTGAGTTACACTTCATTTTATATTATTAGGTTAGATGGTGAATGGTGTATCGCACTGGCCATTAATGCATGTGTTTCTTCTTATTTTAATCATTGCTTCCATTTTATTTTTAATGATATCACTTGATATCTAATCAAATCACACCTGTTCTTTTGTTTTTTTCTTTAGGAAAAAATTCCTTTCGTCCTATATCCTATGCAGCTGGATATTAATAGATATAATTAATAAAATGCCCATGACCCCATCGTACTATATATATAAAATAAAAATTTATTTATATATAAATGTTATATATTATATTTATATAACATTTTTATTTTTTATTTTTAATAATTAAGATTTTTTTATATACATATATTTATACATTAATTAAATCTTAAATTTATAATTAAAAACATAAATAATTTTATCATTAAATTATCTTATTGATTCTAATAGTTTAAATAATTTTATAATAATCACTTTTAATTAAAAATAAAATACTTTAAATTCAAATTATATAAAGTGCCAATGAAATATGATATAAGACAAAAAAAAATATCCC